CTGCCTGAGGAAGGCAACTCCTGCCCTCCCAGGTTCTCAACCCACTGGTCACTTTGGTTTACAAGAGGGGCTGCTGGCTCACCTTGTCAGAGCATCTGTATAACTCAGGCCACCAGTAGGACAAGAGTTAAATGGGTTCACGCTTCAATCAAGTCTTAAGCAGTTCTCTCCACATGCCACTGAAGAATCAAGTCCCCTTGTCAGCACTGCTCCCCCTGCTAAGCTCTGTCTATATTTTCTTTGATTTGAACAAACGAAACCTCATTTTCACATGTTCAGTCCTGCTTGGTGGAGAACTATTCACACATGAAATTGCTCATTTTTTGCTTATGGCTCATGCCTGTAATCCCAGCATTTTGGGAGGTTGAGGCAGGTGGATCTCCTGAGCTCAGGAATTCAACATTAGCCTGGGCAACAATGGTGAAACCCCATCTCTACAAGAAAATGCAAAAAATTAGCTAGGCGTGGTGGCACACGCCTGTGGTCCCAGCTACTTGGGAGGCTGAGGTGGGAGAATTGCTTGAACCTGCGAGATTAAGACTGCAGTGAGCCAAGAACATGCCACTACACTGCAGCCTGGGTGACAGAAGGAGACTTTGTCCAAAAAAAAAAAAAAAAAAAAAAAAGGCGCTTATTTTTGATTCTGGAAATGTTACCCCAAAAATACAGGGTTTGTTGGCCTGGTGAATAACAAGCCATGCTCCTTTAGAACACAGGTGTGATCTACAGGAGTTTTATTACCTGCACAAGTAAGAAGGGCACTGGGGTTATTCTCTGAAGCAGTGTCTCCCTGAGGGAAAGTGACAGGAGAGTGTTAAGGCATGATGGAGAGGGGAAGGGGTGTGTCACATGCAGGGGAGGGGGAGGGGCCTCAGTGGCATCAATGCAGTGGGTCCTCATGCCAGCACATAGGTCACCTGTGATGCTCATGAAGCTGCTGCCCCCCTGGGTGGTGACTATAGCATGGCGATGAGGAAAATTCACCTAGTTCATCTGTAAGTTGCTGAGGTCTGTCAGGGGCTGCTTTTAACCAAGTGGGTGACCACGCAGGGTCTAGGAAAAAGCAGACTGCAGGGCAGGAGGCTGCAAAACAGGCTGATTGCTTAAGTCAGTTAAATTCCTAGAATCCCTGGAGACCCTGACTGCCTGCTTACAGAAATATTCTAGAAGACAGGTTGAATTTGTTCCAGACGGTATTTCCTCTGAAAGAAGCTGTTAGCCTGACAAAGAGTAGATGACAAGGCTGACTCGGGCTTACTCCGTTGTACCACCAGCTGCTTCTTGGCCTTACCACCCAATTCTAGAATGAAGGAGAAGCAAAACTAGCTGGTACTGAGACCGCGACACTCACCTGTTTTCATGATTTCTTTAGTGGAAACTTGAAGTTGTTCCTTTTGTTTAAAAAACTCCTCTCTTTCTTCTTTCAGTTCTCTGCCCAAGTACCTCCTTCTTCCTGACCACTTTTCCTAAAACACCACATTTGGCCAGGTGTGGTAGCTTTCACCTCTAATTCCAACACTTTGGGAGGCTGAGGTAGGAAGACCACTTGAGCTCAGGCGTTTGAGATCAACCCAGGTGACAATAGTTATACAAAAAAAAAAAAAAAAAAAAAAAAAAAATAGCTGGGTAATGTGATGCACATCTGTGATCCCAACTACTTGGGAGGCTGAGCCTGGGGGATCCACTGAGGCTGGGAAGTTGAGGCTGCAGTGGGCTGTGATCCTGTCACTGCACTTCGGCCTGGGTGACAGAGTGAACCTGTCTCCAAAAAACAAAACAAAGCAAAACAAAAACCAAAACCACCATTCTTTCTCCATCCCTGGTAGTGTTGGCATCTCTTGGGAGCTAGTTAGGAAATCATTTCAGGGCCTCAGTCCAGACCTACCGAATTAGAATCTGCATTTGAAAGAGATTTCAAAGCAATACAGCCTACACACATTAAAGTCTGGCTTAATCTTTTTTATTTTTATTTGTACAGGATCACTGGAGAGTATTTAAGTTTCACACTGAATGCAGCCTGGATGGTGTTGTTTTCTACAATGTGCTGGCAAAATGCCAGACGCCCGAAAATGTACTGGGTGAACAATCTACATAATGGAGGGGAGGATCGTTGCCAAAGCACCTTGACAGCACCTTCCACAGCCTCCACAGTAGAAAACCTGGTGTGTGCTCAAAGCCTCACCCCTCCTTAGTGAGGGCGTGTGTCTAGATGAGAGCCAGATTGGCAAATGGGTAGAACAGGGGTGTGTTAAGCAGTTTCTGTCCTACTTTCACAGATCTCACCGTTCTCTTGGCATCACTTGAGTAATCTTGAAAAGGCTTCCTCCATTAAATGGGGATGCATAGTTCCTATGGGGATTGGGAGGATTAAAAATGAGTCTGCTGGTGGCAGAGGTCAGAAGGGCTTGATTCCAGACAGCAGTGCTTTGAGTGTGTTCTCTGTGGTACAGTTGCAGTGCTGATCAGTGGTAAGTTTAGGGCAAGTTTAGGATACGTTCTTACACATAGAGAATAACCCTCAGGCCAAACGTGGATCCCAGACTGATACAGGAGTCTCTTTCCATGTAGCCCTGAACTTTTTTTTTTTAAGAGACAGAGTCTTGCTCTGTTGCCCAGGCTGGAATGCAGTGGCGTGCTTATAGTTCACTACTGCTTCGAACTCCTGGGCTCAAGCGATCCTGCTGCCTCAGCCTCCTAAGTAGCTAGGATTACAGGCATTTTGCCACTATGCCTTACTAATTTTTAAAATTCTTTTTGTAGACATGGAGTCTGGCTATATGGCCCAGGCTGGTCTTGAACTTGTGGTGTCAAAGCATTCCTTCCACTTGGACTCCAAAAGCACTGGGATTACAGGCTGTCTTGAACATTTTTATAGCAAAAAGAAGTTTGCATTTTTTTTTTTTTTTTTGAGATAGAGTCTTGCTCTGTCATCCAGGCTGGAATGCAATGACATGATCTCAGCTCACTGCAACCTCTGCCTCCTGAGTTCAAGTGATTCTCCTGCCTCAGCCTCCTGAGTAGCTAGGATTACAGGTGCCCACCACCACGCCCACCTAATTTTTTGTATCTTTAATAAAGATGAGGTTTCACCATGCTGGCCAGGCTGGCCTGGAACTTCTGACCTCATGATCCACCCACCTTGGCCTCCCAAAGCGCTGGGATTCGGGAGGTGGAGGTTGCAGTGAGCCGAGATTGAGCCACTGTACTCCAGTCTGGGCAACAGAGCGAGACTCCATCTCAAAAAGAAAAAGAAAAAAAAGTGCTGGGATTACAGCTGTGAGCCATCAGGCTCGGCCTAGAAGTTTGTATTTTTTTAAGGGGGAGTTTTGGCTTTATTTCTCTTGATAGCGGAAAAGTAGAATTTTAACTCTCAGCAACTGAATCCTAATCCTCAGGCAGGAAGTGTTTTGCATATAAGGCAACGGAGAATTATTGGGGTGGGGAGAAAAGCAAAACACACAAAAACATCAGTTTTGTTTATTTTTACCAAAGCTTTCCTTGAGATAGAATTATAACGCAGCCTAGATTCAGCATTTGCCAGAAGCCCCGTATCTGTATGGTGTCTGCTAGGTCCTGACTTCTCAGGTCCCTAATTGCTGCCTTCAGAGGTGAAAAGAGCCCTGTTGCACTTTCTCCATTCTGGCTCTGTACCCTCGAGCAAGAACCCCAGGCTCCTCTAGGTGGCAGGTACTCAAAGGTCCAAAAATGGGCCACCAGTTGGGATTGAAATCCAAGTGAGAGAGTCCCAGTGAAAGCCTCGCAACTCCAAGTGTGGTCCATGAACTGGCAGCATTGGCATCTCCTGGGAGCTAGTTAGGAAATCATTTCAGGGCCTCACTCCAGATCTGCTGAATCAGAATCTGCATTTGAAAGAGATTCCAAAGTGATACAGCCTACCCATTAAAGTCTGGCTTCAGAAAGAAACAAGTGATTCCAGCACAAAATGGCAAGGGAAGTGAATCTCTCTCATCCCTTCCACTCTAGCAGGCAGTGTGTGCTATTAAGTCAGTCCCATCATAGCACTCTATTATTAGTGCTTGCTGAACTGAATGAATGTTCCTACCTCTGAAGGGTAGGTTTGAAAGATGAGATTCAGTTCAGTTAAAGGCACCCTTAAATCAACCACTTGGAATTGAAGGCAGCCCTGCTGGAGACCCAGTCCCCTTCATGGAACACATATATCTGCCTTCCTGTGATTCTAAGCACCACTGCTACAAAGGGAAAGATTTCCAGTCTCACCTCAAGTGGAAACTGGTGCTTCTCGTTTTCTCAACAATAGGCTTGGCTTTGCAAAGAAAACAGCAAGAACCTGAAAACAAAGCAATCAGGGACTTAAGTGGGGCCCGCTGGCTTTTTCTAGTAACCTTATGCTAAGAGGTGCAAAGATTTGAGTGCTAGATTTCAGACAAAAGTGCCTGGGCAGCCAGGAAATTGTTAGTAATGAATGCTTAAACTCCCAAAGGTTGTACTGAAGACAAAAGAGCTTTTATGGATCTACTGAAACTGTTGTTTTAAAATTTTATTTATAAATAAAAGATAGATATATATATGTGCTTTAATGTGATTAATAGGCTCCATTTTTTACAAAATGTTAAACCTAGAGTCCTCTGCATCCTGGATGAGGCATCCAAAGGGTGGAATAGTACAGCATTAGGGCCTTCGCTCTCCTTCTGCTTCTGGAAGAGACACTCTTGTGTGCCCTCAATGTTCACAGCAAAAACAAAAAAGAAAAAATATAAATCCCATGTATGCAATGAAGATAGATAGCTATGAGTTAATCAGGTTATTTCATTCCATAAAATCCATTAAGCTGCTGGGATTTGCATGGTTCTAAGTTTAAGATGCTCATCCAAACATGGCCAGAAATATATTGGCCTCCTGAGTGTTTGCATGACAAGGAGTTATACAGCAGGAAAAAGAAAAAAAAAAACAGTAATTACATTGATGCAAGATTCATCAGTATTTTAGAATATTGTAGTTTCAAGGTGTTAGATTGTTTCTGAGCATTGCTGACTTTAACTCTGGTTATTGTCCCTGGTCCACGTGACGCAAATGCCACCCTTTTCAGCAAAAAAATACGAAAAGCCCGTCACTCCCTAAGAGGACCTTGCTCCCTCTGGAGAGGAAAACGAAACTCTTTAAGAAGAAAACCAAACCCAGCCTGAACTAATCGTCGAAGGGGTCCTGTTTGGTCCCAGGAAAGGAAGATTTCCAACCACACCGGCGAGGGACAAGTGTCCGGGTTCCAAGTCGGAGCCAGGCGGGCCTGTGCGGGGTTGAGTCCTTTGCCACCCGCGACCCCCAGGCTCTCCAGGCGTCTAGAGGTCGGAGTCGCAGGGCAGAGAGCTGTGGTAGGGCTGGGTGCTGCACGAGGAGGTGCCCTGGGACGAGGCCGCCTTCTCCCCCTCCCCGTCGAGGACATCAACCTGGTTGGTGTAGGCCTTGGGCGGTGGCCGCGGCATGGGGAAGCCGATCTTGGGCTTGCGGGGCTGGGCAGGCGGCGGCCAGTGCTGGCCGTCGCGGTAGTACTTGATGGCGGGCGCCAGCTCGGGCTCGGGCCACTCCACTTGGATGGTGCTGACGCTGCTGCGGCGAGGCCCGGCGGAAGGCGCCTTGCGGCAGCGGCGACACCGCTCCTCACACCAGGGTGCGAAGCTGAGCGCCAGCGAGAAGCCGCCCAGCAGCAGGAGGCAGCTGCCCAGGTAGCCCAGCACCAGGCTGTAGCTGACCTGCACCGTGACCGGGTTGGCCGGGGCGGGCAGGACCTCGCGGTCCCACAGGAAGTGGTTGTACCAGGACACCGGGATGAGGCTGAGGAGGCCGGCGACGAAGAGCACGAGGCCTGAGACCCCGGCCAGCGCGAAGTGGGGCTCGTCCTGCCAGCAGCGCACACCCAGCGACGCCAGCAGCAGCCCCAGGGCCGTGGTGGCCAGCGAGGTGACCATGAGTGCCCGCGCCACCAGCACGGGCTCGGCCGCAAAGTAGCCCCACTCGTCCGGCTGGCCGCACTCGCGCTCGCGGCTGCTCTGCTCCCGACACATGTCCCACAGGCCCTGGTACAGCACCACGTCCACCGGCTGGTTCAGGAAGCCCTTCACCAGCCGCCAGCCGGGCGCCAGCGTGCCAGTCAGGTTCAGCAGCAGTCCGCAGGGCGCGAACACCATGCCCAGCGTCATCACCACCGGCGTCCGCATCCCGGCCCGCCGCGCCGACGGCGCACCTGCCGCCTTCCTCCTCCGCTGTCGCCTTCTCCCGGCCGTGCCCCGGGCTCCGGGGACCCGAAATCAGCGCGGGCGCCCCGGGCTCCGGGTCGAGCTCCTGCCCCCTGATGGCTCCAGGGACGCTCTTTGTCTCCTGCGCGGAGACCGTCCCCACTCAGGCTAGTTCGCTCTTCGCGTCCCGGCCGCTCCGCCCTCCTACTGGCCCTAATCGAAACCAGCCCGCGGGCGGGTCTGACCGAAACCGCGGGTCCAGTCGTGGGCGCCCAGGGGCGGCCGCCGGGGCCAAACCCGGCCCGGGAGGGAGGGACCCAAGGTGCGCGCAGGAAGCGGCGAGGCCACCTCCAGTGCGGCAGGTGAGATGGGGATCTGAGCGGCGGGGACACCCCACCTTGCAACCGGGCAGCTGGGCCACGCCTGACCTGGACTGCTCCGGGCCGGAGCAAAGGTCGCCCCGCCCCTGGCTCCTCGCACCGCCCCACGGGGCCCAGCGGGCTGTGGGCGGGGAGGGAAAAGAGGCGGCGCTGCTCCGACGCGGTGGCTGCGCAGCTTCTCTGCTGCTCGGCGATTCCTAGAGTTTTTCTCCCGTCCCTGCCCGTCGACCTTACGCGTGTAGTTTCACCTTCCACTCCCAGCGGGTCCCCGGTGGCCCACCAGGTTTGCTCTGCAACTAGCGTCCACTCACAGCGAAGTGAGCGGCCCCGAGCGCTCCCCGGGGCTGGAGGTGCGCTGGGGGAGTGTGTGCTCCTACCCAGTCCAGGAGCGTGTCCCAGGGCGTTGCACCTGATTAATTTCCTTAATAAAGGCTCCACACTCTGGATTAAATTCGACTCAAGAATCCATGCCAGTGTATTTCTGGGCTGAAGGGTTACACGAGGATTTTCCTTTCCTTTCAGCTTTGTGAAAGACTTTCCAGGGGACTAGAAAGAGGGAGGGGTGTTCCTGGGTGTCCTGCTTAGCACTCTTTGCAGGTTCACTTAATTTTACAGGGTCCTGTGGCCTTTTCTCTGCTGTAGGTTATTTTACAACTCTATACATTGCAGAAAGCTTGTAGAATTGCAAATGACTTTTGTCCACATCAAGGCCAAAGAGTTTGTCCCAGTGGAATGATTATTGCCCCAATGGATACTGACCAGTATGACATTGATTTGTAAATGCATTTTAGCGTTCCTGTTTGCCTGTATATGTATGTCGTTTTGTTCTTTGCATTATTTTTCCTTTTTAATTAATTAATTCGTTTATTTAAAACAGGGTGGAGGAGTTTCGCTATGTGGCCCAGGCTGGTTGCAAACTCCTGGCTCAAGTGAGTTTCCTGCCTCAGCCTCCAGAATGGCTAGGACTGCAGGCAAGTGCCCATCCGCTTCGGTTTTGACATCATACTGGTTTTCTTATTCAATAATGAGTTAAATAACATCTTTTGCACATGTTTATTTTATATTTGTGTGAAAGTCACGATTTTTACATTTTTTCTAAAAATTATCCTTTAACACTTTTTTGTATTTTCTATATTTTAATAATGAAAACGTATTACCTTTATAAACATTTAAAACTATTTCTAAAATTCAAAGTTAATTAAATGTTGGTTTGAAATAATTTTGAATATTCCACAGTGGACAACACTAGGAATGACAGAGTGTCTTATTTATTTATTTTTTATTATTTTATTTATTTATTTTTTTGAGACAGAGTCTAGCTCTGTCGCCCAGGCTGGAGTGGGCCTCAGAAACTACCTCGCACAAAGTTGCAACCTTCTGCAACAGCTTCATCTTGGAAAGTCACGTTACCAACTTTGGCCAGGACAGAGGGTCCACTAGATCATCTGTCCTGAACATTTTTGGCACCAGGGACGGTTTCATGGAAGATAATTTTTTTCCATGGGATTGTGGGGGGAAAGATGGTTTTGGGATGAAACAGTTCCACCTCAGATCATCAGGCAACCTAAATCCCTGGCATGTGCAGTTCACAGTAGAGTTCACACTCCTATGAGAATCTAATGCCACCACTGATCTGACAGGAGGCAGAGCTCAGGCAGTAACTCACTTGCCCACGGTTCGCCTCCTGCTATGTGGCCCAGTTCCTAACGGGTCACAGACTGGTACTGGTTGGTGACCCAGGGTTTGGGGACCCCTGCATTAGATCACTTTGCCATGGTGAGGTATCCTTAGATTCCCTCTGCCAGGTCTTTATTTTACTTTCTCCAAAGCTATTTTCTCTTTTTCTTCCTGGAACTCTGAACACGTTTTCCTGTGTTTGCTAAGCAGATAAGACAATTTTGTTTACAATGGTATGCTATGAGAATTCTGAACGTGAGTGAGAAATGAACAGCATTGATAATCACCCTGTGGTAAATCCACTTCAGTGGGTTATAGAATAAAAATTAAAGTATGAAAAAACGTAAACTATGATCTTTATTTTTAAATAGCATTAAAACAGCCAGAATTGAACAAAGCCCCTAGTTTTTCTTGTTGGCCAATAGCCCAACAGCTGTTTTACCAATTGTGAGTGCCTAATATTGTAGAAAATAATAACTTTTCACGCCCAATTTAAAGTAGCCCTCTTATTAGCTCAGTATCACTTCACTCTAATTTGTTCTCTTTATAGAATGTATCACTGCCAGGTGTTTTCTAATATTTGTGTATTGACTTATCGCTATTGTTTCCTACACTGCATTATGAGTTTCAAAGACTAGAGATGTTTCTTGTGGCTGTATCTCAGCTGCTAGAATAGTGCCTAGCTCATAGTGAGTACTCCATACATATTTGTTAAATAAATGAAAGTATTTTTGTAAAGTTCCTACACAGTAACACAATAGAAGAATATAGCATACATTGTTTTTTTTTAAAAATTATAGTAAGATACACATAAAATTTACCATCTTAACCATGTTATCTGTACAAGTTACCTAGGTACAGGTCAGCAGTGTTAAGGTCATTCACCTTGTTGTGCAACCAATCTGCAGAACACTTTTCATTTTGCACAACTGAAATTCTATACCTGTTCATCAACTATCCATCCTTGCCATTCTGCAAGCCCCTGGCAATCGCCGCTCTGCTTTCTGTCACTCTGAATTTGACTACTCTAGATAGCTTATATATAAGTGGACTCATACAATATTTGTCATCTTGTGACTGGCTTATTTCACTTAGCATAATGTGCTCAAGGTTCATCCATGTTACAGCATATGTCAGAATTTCCTTCCTTCCTATTGTGGCAAGAAATAATATCCTATTGTTGGCATATTCCAGATTTTGTTTATCCAGTCATCTATCAATGGACAATGGACCCTTGGGTTGCTTCTACCTTTTTTTTGTTATTGTGAATGCTGCTGTGTGTGATGTATACATCTTTTTTTGTTTGTTTAAGATGGAGTCATGCTCCGTTGTCCAGGCTGAAGTGCAGTGGTGCGATCTTGGCTCACTACAACCCCTCCCTCCCAGGTTCAAGCAATTCTCCTGCCTCAGCCTCCCAAGTAGCTGGGACTACAGGTGTGCACCACCACACCTGGGTAGATTTTGTATTTTTAGTAGAAACAGCGTTTTACCATGCTGGCCAGGCTGACCTCAAGTGATCTGACTCTCACGGCTTCTTCAAGTGCTGGGATTACAGTTGTGAGAGTATACATTATTTTGAATTTCTCTTATTTTATTTTCTGTGTGGTGACTTTAGATGGCCACTAAAACAGGAATCAACTTGCCATTCCTCTCACACAAATCAGAAGGCAGCCTGTGATACTCTGCCACTGTTTCGAAAATGTGCTGAATGATGTATACATCTTCTAGTGGCTTCAAATCCTTCTTGGTGTAGAATCTCAGTGGCCTCCCTTGACAAGAGGGAAATGCTGGGTGGGAGTGAGGGTGGGGCTGTTCTAGTGATCAGCATCTGTTTCTGTCTCACCATACCTGCTTCTCTTCAACCCTGGCCCTTCCTGTCTCCTGCAGGGCAAACATATTTACCATGCCATGGACTATATTCATTTAGATCTTTGAGATAATTTTCAGTTTGAGCTGTTAGTTATTTATTTTTATTCACAAGGGGTTTGTTTCATTTTTGGCAAAATGTATCTTTTGAGAAAACCAAACGGCCACTGGGCAAAGTCCTAAATAATGTAAAGACTAAGTACTAGAGTGATGCCAACGCTTTCCAAATTAATGTACAGATCAACTCAATTCCAATAAAATGTCAGACTGGGATTGGATAGGTGATTTCAAAGTTCATTTGAAAAAGAAAATGAATGAAACAACATCAAAAAACTTTTGAATAGAGCAGTTGTGAAAAGGTCTGCACACTCCAGCTGTTAAATGTAATTTAAAGCCATAATAACTTAAATTCTATTTTAGCACTAGAATATGAAGGTAGATCAATAAAAACATCATCAGTTGAAGCCAAAAAGTAGACCCTGGTTATATACAAATTTATAATATGAGAAAATTGGGATTTCAGATCATAGAGAAAGGCATGAAAACTCAATAGTGTTGTAGCAATTGGTTAGTTTTGAAAGAAGAAGAAACCTAAGTTCATACATATACATCACGAAATATGTAAAAGCAAAGTCTAGGTGTACTACGTAGTTACATGTAAAAACTAATATGGGCCAGGCACAGTGGCTCATGCTTGTAATCCTAGCACTTTGGGAGGCCAAGGTGGGTGGATCACTGAAATCAGGAGTTTGAGACCAGCCTGGCCAACATAGTGAAAACCCATCTCTACTAAAAATACAAAAATTAGCCAGGTGTGGTGGCAGGTGCCTATTAGTCCCAGCTACTTGGGAGGATGAGGCAGAAGAATCGCTTGAACCTGTTGGATAGAGGTTGCAGTGAGACAAGATTGTGCCACTTCACTCCAGCTTGGGCAGAAGAGTAAAACTCCATCAAAAAAAAAAAAAAAAAAAGGTAGAGATAAAGCTACAGTAGTGAAAAGGTTTTCTAAGCAAAATATCCAAGATGGCAATGGTAGAGAAAAAGGTTGATAGATTTTGCTATATGAGAGTTTAAAATGTTTTGATTTCAACATGCCTCAAACAAAATTAAGACAAATCTTTATGCATTTACGTGGTGGAAAAGAGTTGATATTTCATCTATCTGGCAAATCAATAGGACATCTTAGTATTGCAGTGAAAATTGGGTGAAGAATATGCACAGAGAAAAAGAAAATAGACATCAACTAAGCAAGTTCAAAGATGATAAATTAAATGATCCTTTTATTTACAAAAGTGCCAAACAGAACAAAGATAAACCATTTTTTTCTTCTTAAATTGGAATAGCATAGGGGGAAAATACTACCCAATTTTGGCTAGAGTTGGGGGAAAAAATCAACACCAGAGGAAAAGTAAATAAACATTTATTTCAGACAGGATGTTGCCATTTGTTTTTAAAAGCCTTAGATATGAGCCTTCACTTTGGTTTCTCAATTAACT